GGGGTTCCAAGGTTTCAGGGTTCCAGGGTTCCAGGGTACCAGGGTCCCACGGTTTCAGGGTTCCAAGGTTTCCAGGGTTCCAAGGGTTCCAAGGGTTCCAGGGTTTCAGGGTTCCAGGATCCCAGCAGGGTGCCAGGTGTGCAGGGTTGCAGGGTTCCAAGGTTCCAGGGTTCCAAGGTTGCAGGGTTCCAGAATCCTTGAGGGTTCCAGGGTGCCAAGGTTGCAAGGTTTCAGGGTTCCACGGTCGCAGGGTTCCAAGGTTCCAGGGTTTCAGGGTTCCAGGGTTCCGGGGTTCCAGGGTTCCAGGGTTCCGGGGTTCCAAGGTTTCAGGAACCCTGCAACCCTGCACACCTGGCACCCTGCTGGGATCCTGGAACCCTGGAACCCTGGAACCCTTGGAACCCTTGGAACCCTGGAAACCTTGGAACCCTGAAACCGTGGGACCCTGGTACCCTGGAACCTTGGAACCCTTGAAACCCTAAAACTTCCAAACCCTAAACTCTATGCGCGCTGCGCGCGCTGCATGCAATAAAGTAAACCCTAAAACTTCCAAACCCTAAACCCTAATGCGCGGTGCGCGCGCTGTGCCCCAGAGAAGTAAACCCTAAAATTTCCAAACCCTAAGCCATCGTGTTATGCAACTTCCAAACCCTAAAGTTTAACCCGCGGTGTGCGCGCTGCATGCAATAAAATAAACCCTAAAATTTCCAAACCCTAAACCCTAACGCGCGCTGCGCGCGCTGTGTGCCATAGAAGTACCCCTTAAAATCTCCAAACCCTAAACCATCGTGTCATGGAGGTTAACCCTAAAACTTCGAAACCCTAAAGTTCAACCCACGCTGTGCACGCTGCATGCAATAAACTATAAAACTTCCAAACCCTAAACCCTAATGCGCGCTGCGCGCACTGCGTGCCACACACATAAACCCTAAAACTTTCAAACTTTAAACCGTAACGCGTACTGCGCGCACAGCCTGCCATAGAGGTAAACGGTTAAACTTTCAAACTTTCAAACGCTGCGTGCCATAGAGGCAAAGCCTAAAACTTTCAAACGCTAAACCGTAAAGCAGGCTGCGCGCGCTGCGTGCCATAGAGTGCTCCTCAAAAGTGATTACATGTCATACTTTAGTGGCATCCTCCAAATTCATTAGTCAGCCTTTGTTAATCCAGGGCCCATTTTACACATGTCATCTTCTTGGTCGTGGCGCCATTTCAGGATCACACTGATGACCTAAGCTTTGGCCTTAACTATTATGCAGGCAAGCGACATCAGCACGCTATGGTATTGGAAGACACAGGGTTTGCCCGTAGACCAGCCAAAAAATCGATTTTCCACACTGAACAATTGGATTTAACACATTTAGAATAGGAGCTCCGCCTGATTCAGATTTCATCACTTAAAAGGTACCCATGCCTGACTAGCCTTCATGACTTAAAGCGTAACCACACCCGACTTAAGGGAACCATGCCTGACTAGCCTTCATAATTAAGAGGTACCCACCCACGCCTGACTTAACAGAACCCATGCCTGACTAGCCTTCATAATTAAAAGGTACCCATGCCCCTGAATTCAGGGAACCATGCCTGACTAGCCTTCACAATTAAAAGGTACCCACTGGAACCATGCCTGACTAGCCTTAATGACTTAAAAGGTAACTACACCTGACTTAATACCTGATTTACTGGTTTTGCCTGATTTTGGAAAAACGCAGGGCCGGAATTTGCAGGGCGCGGGCCGGAATTTGCCGGGCCCGGGCCGGGCTGGGATTTTGGGGTCGTGCCTAAATAGGATTTTTGCAAAAATCGTGCATGACTGAAGGGAACCATGCCTGACTAAACATCATACCAATCATCCCAAAAGAATCCAATAATTCCAGCAAGTGATGCCTGACCAATCCCTGCGTCATAATAAACCGTCTGCCCCTCCCCACCCAATAATGAACACACGGAATAGTTTTTTGTATTTAGTGGGTATTTAGTATGAGGGTGCGAAACTTCCCCCTTGGTTAAAAAAACTAAATTGGAAAACATTTTTTAAATAACATCTAACTAAAATATTGCCAAAATTGGATTCCGAAGCTTCCCCCTGACATTAAATTGAAAACATTCGTTTTAAAAAATGAACTTTATATTTCAAAACCGATTGAATTCCTATTCAAAATCTAACTCAAATCTTGCCAAATTGGATTTCGAAGCTTCCCCTTATATTAAATTGAAAACCTTACTAATCCCCACCTCCTTTTACTAAACGTACCCTAAATACTAAAATATTACATTGATTCCTTTTACTAGGGTCCGCGTTAAATTTTGGGAAATTTAAGGCTGGCCAGTTTGACTTTGAAGTGATACCTTTTCAAAAACAAATTAAACATGAAGGTCCCATTTCAGGATTTCACCACCAAAAAATAAAAACTAGTCAGCCCCGGTGATTTTTTAAACTAGGGTCTTTTAAGGTCGAAAAAATAAGTATTTTATATTACAACGTTTATATAATATTGGGGGAAAACTTCGAAATCCCCTTTTTGGCATTTCCTGGCAATATTTTTGCTGGATGTCAAAAGGAAATCTAATCGATTCTTGAAATCGAAAAAACATAGTTTTTTTTTATTAGTGTTTTTAATTTAATCTTAGGGGAAAACTTCGAAATCCAATTGTTAGCAATATCTTAATTATATGTTAAACAGAAAACTAATCGATTTTGAAACAGTTTTTTTTTAAATATATTAGGGCTGGTAATTTAATATTAGAGGAAACATTTCGAAATCCGGTTTTTGTTTTTATTTTTGCTACTACAATTTAAAAGGAAATCGAATCGATTTCAAAAAAGAAAAAAATATTTTATATTAGGGTTTTTTAATGTAATATTAGGGGAAAACTTCAAAATCCAATTTTTGACCATATTCTAATTAGATTTCAAAAGGAAATCTAATGAATTTTGATATAGAAAACATAGTCTTTGATATGAGGGTTTAATATGAGGGGAAAGCTTCGAAATCCAATTTCTGGCAATATCTTAATTTGAATTTACAAGGAAATCTAATCGATTCTGAAATAGAACAAATTTAGTTTTTTTATATTGGAATTTTTCATGCAAGATTAGGGGAAGCATCAAAATCCAATTTTTGAACATATTTTAACAATTGGATTTTAATTTGATATTAGGGGAAAGCTTCAAAATCAATTCTTTGTTTTTTTCATTAGATTTCAAAAGGAAATCTCATCGATTTTGAAACAGGAAAAAAAACAAAATGATATTAGGGTTTAATATAAGGGAAAAGCTTCGACATCCAATTTTTTGGCCATATTTTATTTAATTTTTAAAAGGAAATCTAATCGATTTCGAAATAGAAAAACATACATTTTTTTTTTTGTTGGGGGTTTTTATTTGATATTAAGCTTCGGAATCCACTTGTTTGCCATATTTTAATTGGATTTAAAAAGAAAGAAATCTGATCGATTTTGAAATAGAAATATGTGTATATATATATATGTGTGTGTGTGTTTTTTTATCAGTATTAGGGGGAAGCTTCGTACCCTAATACTAAAGACCCCCCCCAATACTAAAAACTCCTCCAGGTGTTTGTTATTTGGGTGGGTGGGTGAAGGGGCGACTGTTTAGCAACAGGGGGAAGGGATTAAACCGTTTTTTGTTTCTAATTTCAAAATCCATGAAAATAATCTTTAAATAGAATACTGCCAAGAATAGGATTTCGAAGCTTTCGCCTAGTATCAAATAAAACACCAACACCTGAATTAAAAAAACTAAAATTGACGATTTTAAAGGACGGACCCCAATAAAAGACACCCCGGTGTTGACTAGTTTTTTATTCTTTGGGGGTGAAACCCTCACATGGTACCTTCATTTTTAAAATTGTTTCCTCAAGGGGATCAATTAAAAATCAGATTAACCAATTTGACATTTCCCAAAATTGGAAATCGCACCTAGTTTTTGTCATTTGGGGGTATTTTTCGTAATAGGGAGAAAGGATTAGCAAAAAGAATGCCTGATCAAAATGATGCTGATTCTGTGTGTTACAATCTTTTTGCCCACTACAGTGTCTACAGGGTTACAAGGGATGCCGTGCCAGCTAGAGTCCCAAGTCCATTCAACCAACACCCTAATCGATGAAGTTGGACTTGTTGAAATGGAAGTGGGACTGGACCAGTTGACATGGGGCGATGCTGACCTTCAACGGGAGCTTCGGCGCCTGAAGGACAACAGTTTGAAAATTCCGAACCTGAAATATATTTTCAAAATTGCCTTACTAAGAGTGATCCCCACCCTGACACACTATTCTGACATAGTTTCTGACATATCATCTGGACGTATATGTGGCATATATGTTCTGACATACTATCTTACATTCTTTTCTGAGATTCTATTTGACATTCTTTCTGGCATCCTATCTGGCATCTATTCTGACATACTTTCTGGAATATACTATATTCTGATCCTGCCTTGCCATGAGTTTGGGCTGGGAGTGCTTTTATTTGCGTGGATCAATGCCAATGGCTTGAATATCCACCAAATGTTGGTTTCACATGTTTGCACCCAATGATTGCCATTACCATTGATACCCCAAAATGGCCAGGTCCTGAATTTGAGAGTAGGTCCTGAAAAGTTTTCTGGGTACTGAAAAAACAGGACTTTGGCACAGGGTCTGAAAAAAGACGTAGGTGGAAGATTCAGGTATGCTGTTGGGTTGCAAAGCTGGGTTAATATATATATATGATTGGATTGGTTTAAGGGAAAATCTACAGGAACCAATCAAATTCAAATATAGAGGTTTCCTGTAACATTTTCCTTAAACCAATCCAATGAATATGTTGTTCATAATTAACTCCGGCCTTATATTTTCCAGAAATTTATAGTAAACTCCATATTTTGGGTATGTGTTTGATTTTGTTGTTTTTGGCAAAGCACAAAGTTTCAAGGTAAGCGCCTGGCTCTATGGGCATCCCTGTGCTTTGCCATTCGCCTGGCGGTGGCGTGCAAAAAGATGGATGAGACAGGCGTGGAGGGAGCAGCCTGTTGATGATTTGCTTGGGGGATTTCAACGTCATTAAAGTATAGGGATTAGAACTTATAGCCATCAAGCATTGATCAATGGTGGTTATATTTATATTAGAATATGTTCAACATGTTTAGTGGTCATCAATGGTCCAAGTCCCTCTCTAGTTATTTAAGGGTGCGCTATGAGAATTACCATGAATAGGTAAATCAATGTAGATCATCATAGATTATCAATGGGCCATTTTCCATAGCTATGTTAAATGACCAGAGAGTATCTGGGTAGATTTATACAGCTATCAAACATTGATAAACGGTGGTTATACAACTATTAAGATTGACTATCAGCAGTTTTTTTTCTAATTGATGATTGGCTGCAGGATACAAATAGATTTAAATGATTAATACCATCCTGGATAAATCAATCTGGTACGGCGGGAGCAAATAGCATGATGTATCAGTGTTGTCGCTGTCATTTCTTTGGTTCATACTTGGTGGTTCGCCCCGCTCGCAAGTGAGTTGTAACTTCAGCTAGAACTATAGGATAAGCAAGGCTAGTCCATCCTTTTGACTGGGCTGGTTCACTAAGCCACGGATGCCGTTCCGGGGGTGAACCACCAAGTATATTCAAGATATTCAACTATATCGTAGCCCCCCCAAAAGAAAGACAAGTAAGAAACCTGTAGGTTAAGGGGAACATGTTGGAAAGTATAGGAACATATCATCTATAATCATCTATAGCATCCTGGAACCACTTTTATCATTTTGGGGCTTGCTATCATCTTGTATGCATTGCTAGTCATTCACCAAGCTGCATCTGTCCTGCCTTGTAAGGTTGGTTGGCGGATCGCTCGAAGCTTTGGGGTCGATTTGATGAACCTTGGCCGCCTCGTCCCGGAGCATTTAAGGGGGTCGGTTTGTCTGGCGACATGGGGATTGATGTCAACAATTTAGGATGAGAACAAACATCGAGATTTACGGCCGTGTCCAGACATCTGGATTTACAGAGTTTTAGATATAGTATGGAATACTTAACTTATAATTTGATTGTTTTGTGCAAAATTTCTGATCAAGTGAATCAAACATGATATTTCTGGGTAGCCTATGACAAACTTAAGGGATTCTTGGTCAACTTTGGTCAACTCGGATCCCGTAACTTGCCGATCTGTCAAGGTAACACCCAAAAAGCCGAAAATCGCTTTTTGGGGGTGGATGACACACAGATGACACAGCCCATTGGGATCTACCCTCTGGTAAACGTACAAAAAACGATGGAACATCACCATTTTTAATGGGAAAACTCACTATAAATGGCCATTTTCAATAGCTATGTTAAATTACCAGAGGGTACCCAATCTCTCTTCGGAGTCTGATGCCTGAGGATGGGATTGATTTGGAGGGCTTGGCAGCACAGGTCTATGTCACCCGCTTTGGAGTGCAGGCCCGTAGTGGAAAGATGTGGAAAGCCATGGCGGCCAGGGGGTGTGGTGTAGAAATTTGGCATCGTCGAATCAGTAGGAGAATCATTCATGATTCATTATGGTGCTTGGCGACACCACTCGGGATGGATATTTGTCACTCGTATTACCCTCTGGAAATTCAACATAGCTATGGAAAATGATTGTTGTTAAATGTTGTGAATAGGTACATCGTCGAACTAAATGGGCCATCTATACCATAGCCAACAGCTAGATTACCAGAGGGTAAAGCATACTACATCACATGATCACTTTGCGGGCTGGATGGAACAACAGAATGGAGGGTCAAAAATCTTAGGCATTGCTGGCACCAATCCATTCAGAACCCAGCTGGGCTTCAATCGATTGGAATCATAGGCCTGCACAAAGATACCAATATCAAGGATATCCCAGTAGATTCCTGATATTGTTGGACAATTTATGTCAGGGATGGTTTGAAAGCATCAGATTTTCCATGATATTCCACTATATGCCCATCCCCAGATATGCCGAGATCTAGATATTCCTAGATATTCCAAGGTATCCCAAGGTATCCCTAACGTTTGTTGTTTTTTTTCACAACGAATGAAGCCATAAATCCATGATCACCGCCAGGAGTCCTGGTCCAGGGACCCGGTGTCGAAGGAAACCCGCTCGGTGTTTTTGGACGATTTGCCCTGGGAAGTGATTCCTCTGGTGGACACCGAGGAAGAGACTTGGAGAAAGGTGACTCCAGGGTTGTGCCCCCGTTCGTCTTTGCGTTCAGTTGGTGCCAATCACCCCAATTTCACTATGGTTTTTGTTGGTGATACCCTCTGGTAAACTAACATAACTATGGAAAATCGCAATTTTTTAATGGGAATATAAACTATAAATGGCAATCTTTAATAGCTATGGCTATGTTAGTTTACCAGAGGGTATATCTATATAGTTAATGCATGCTATGAGTTTATAACCAATGTATAACTGGAACAACCACCTTGTGGGAGCAATGACACGTGGGATTTTTCAGATGTGAGTAAAAACTGGAGGCTAGTTTAGTGCAAGTCCATCGCTTATCAGACATCGGAATAATAGTATATGTATATAATATACACATTACGTGGCTATTTGTTTCTCAGGCTAAGATTGAGCATGTTTGGCTGCAGCAATGGCTGTGGAGCCAAAAAAGAAACTATGCCGAAGCCAAACCTGAAGTAGATGTATGCAATTTGAAAAAAACAAAAATAAACGTGAAACACTCCTTTGAGTAGTAATTGCAGCATTCGCTTTACCGCATTAACGTTTTGGATGATGCAAGTCCGGAAAAGAAAAACATGGACACTTAATGGTGCTGGATGGTACATGTTGGGAAAATGAGATGGTAACACAGAGGAGCTATGAGTGAAGGCGATACTGAAAAGGTTGATTTTAGGTGGCCATGCATACCGCATACCGCACATTTTTGGAGAGTCCTTGGACATGGCCAGGAATGGTGACCGGTGGGATGGTGGCTGGTGATTCTTTTTCTGCTGAGCCTATTCCAATGTTTCAATTGGCAGCTGAATGCCCCCAGATTCTCCGAAAAAGCTCCAAAAGCCGCATCAAGTCTCATAATTTCATTCCTTTGGATTCAAGTAGCTTCTGAGGAAGTGGCAATGGGCTATGATTTGGGAGGTTCAGTCTGTTAAATCCCTTCTCAGTATCTATATGATATATCATATATCATGATTTATCTAGATCCAAAGGGCATATAGGGCATATAGGGCATATATATATAATGCACATAATATATCTAGATATCGAGACACATATATATAATATATATAATATATATATATATAATATATATATACAGTATATTATATATATATAATATATATAATATATATAATATATATAATATATATAATATATATAATATATATAATATATATAATATATATATATACACATGGCTCAGCCCTGCAACCCCCCTCCCCCCTCATGGTCATGGTCTTGTATGTACGTTGTATGTAGGAGGCTTTCTGTCGGATATAGCTGACATGTCGCTAGCAAATAGTTTATCGATGTCGGGTCTACTTTACCCCCGCCCCTCCCTGTGGGGGTGGGTGGGGGCTAGGTAGTGTGTCACTGGCATCTAAGGCAGTAAGTAGGTCATATGTGGGTAGCATGTAAATGATCATATGTGGCTAGCTGTATTTTTTTCATCCAGGGTCTACTTTACCCCCGCCCCCCCTGTTGGGTGGGTGGGGGTTAGGTAGTGTGTCACTGGCATGTAAGGCAGTAAGTAGACAGATAGGTAGATAGACAGATAGATATAGATGGGTAGATAGGTAGATAAATGGATGGATGGATGGATAGATAGATAGATAGATAAATAGTTAGATAGATAGATAAGATTAGATGGATAAGATTAGATGGATAGATAGATAAGATTAGATAAATTAGATAGATGAGATAGATTAGATTGACTAGATTGATTAGATAGATTAGATAGATTAGATAGACTAGATAGATTAGATAGATTAGATAGATTAGATAGATCAGATCGATAGCTTAGATCGATAGGATAGATAGATCGATAGATATACAAGATAGATAAGACATATTTGATATATTTGATATATTGATAGATTGGTAGATAGATAGATAGATAGATAAGATAAGATTAGATCAGATTAGCTTAGCTTAGATTAGATAGATTAGATTAGATTAGATTAAATTAGATTAGATTAGATTACATTAGATTAGGTTAGATTAGATTAGATTATAGATAGATAGATAGATAAATAAATACATAGATTATACATATATATATATATAGATCTATATAAATATCTTTCTCAATATCTAGATATCGTATGTATATATATATGCTCTATATTCCCTATTGATCTAGATAAATCATGATTTATCTATAGATACATGTGTAAGAAACTTAACAGACTTAACCTCCCAAATCACAGCCAAGTATTTAATTCCCTCACATTTTTCTCAATGGGAATTTCAGGATCCAAAAATGGAGGTACCTACCACATATAAGGCCTATTTTTGAGGCTTATGTAAGGGGATACCCCCCCAAAATATGGCCAAACATATGGTACTAACGTACCTCCATTTTAGGATCCTGGAATCACCATTTTTAAGTTCGGTAAACCATCTATTTCTATGGGTCATCTATACTACTATACCATGGCTATGTTAGTCATAACCAGAGGGTAATTTCCATATCATCCCATGATTCATCATTGTTAACCCATTGTTATTCACCATTAAAACCCACTATTAAATCCCCATTTATAGTGGTTAAATCACCATGTTCCTATGGTTATCCTGTGGTTTACCACCAGCTCCCAGGACGTGAAGACGGAGTATCCCGAGGACCTCGAGGACCCCGAGGCCTCCGTGGCGCCCTGGGCGGAGACGGTCAGCGCGGCGGAGCAGGCGGCGGTGCTGAAAGCAAACGCGCAAGAGCTCGATGCGGCGCAGAAACTTGGTGAATTGGGCATGGTTGTGTGGTATTGATTTATATATACCCTCTGGTTATTTAACATAGCCATGGGAAATGGCCCATTTATAGATGGCTTACCTTTTAAAAATGGTGATTTTCCATGGCTATGTTAAATAACCAGATGGTATATATATATATAGATATGTATGTAAACGTCGTGCATGTGTATATATGTATGTAAAATAGCAATGTTTAAGTAAGAATAATCACATGATCATAATTATTGTAATGATACATATATAATATATGCTTAGACCCTTCAAGTACCCTTTTTCATGTCTAAAAAATATTGCATGTTTTTTTTTGTTTGCGGGTTATCTTTTCAGGAGGGTGTATAGCGTATATTCATCATCAACTGGTCAAACAGACATAGGTAAAAGTGATACCCCAAGTCCGTGCCATGATTTGTGGATGGTCTTGGTTCTGGGGTCCTTACATTTGTAAACAAATATATGTGGGTGAACAGATTGTCTTTGTTGTCGTAGGAACAAGAATAATTAAGACACAACCAACAATCACCCCTCTTTTTGGGAGGTATATCAGTTTGGCAAGTTTGGGCCAGGATTTCTCTACCAAACTGATAAATATTCCTGAGAGCTCTGTACATTTCGTTTAAGAACCTAACCTTTGGTTGATAGCAAAACTCGGCAAGATGACTCATGGATTACCAGGATGTCCCTAAAATTGTCAATGGCTATAGTTCATGGCAGGTCAAGTCCGATAGTTGATAGTTGAACGGCTTGCACAGGATCAAGGAAGTGGTGACTTGTTGTCTTGCTTGTTCCATGGGTATCATTGGTTCTCCATGGTGCGAATCCCGAAATCAAACTGCACTGCATCTGCTGTTTCCACAGGACAGCTTTGAAGGACTTGGAACCCAGTATGGGGAGGCAGGTGCGAAAAGTTTCTCGGTAAACCGACACATGAGTGTCGGTGAAAATGATCAATTAGAGGAACCTCCAAATAGATGAAGTGTTTAATTTGGAAGGTCAAATTTGCCATGTTGTACGGAAAGATGGTTGGATGGAAGCATAAATAGACGGATTGGTTTGGATTGGATTGCGTTGGATTAGATTCGATTAGATTAAATTAGATGGATGGATGGATGGATAGATGGATACATGGATAGATGTATGGAATTGATTTTATTCAATGATACAAATATGTATAAGATATAATTACAGATATACAAAAACATTTGCCAGGCTTGCAATTGTTCTATTTATTTGTTTTGAGAGTTGTAGTCAGAACTTTACTTTGTGGGTCCATTTGTACCTTTAAAAAAAACATCCTTATGTGAACGCCAGCTGACCACCGAAGGAGATTCAAACGATCATTCATGGTAAACCCTAGAAGAAACTCCAATATCATGATCATGGTTTGATATATGATTAATGTAGAAAATACTAAGCCCAGATGTCAAAATCATGCTGATGACCATTCGGTTTACCATACTTCTGCATCATTGTTGTTGTGACCTCATCGGCCACCCAAACCCCACAAATGTGTTACCCAGAACTTTCGATGGACTTGTGAGATAAGTTATCCAGATTCGTATCATCCAATATGTGATATCATATATGACAGTGACATAGATACAAGAGTTTTAAACTAGATAATGTAGGTAATCTCTATATATATATAATATAAATATATATATATATAATACATATATATATATGTTTGTATTAATAAAATGATATGTGTTTAAAACCTGATTCTCCAGATACAAAACCCAGAGATTTCGATCGTAGACGTCGACGTTTTTGCGGTTCTTCGGCGCCGAGGCTTGGGAGTCGGCGAAGCGCGTTGTGGTGACCGGTGGCATTGGTCAAGGACTGACGGTGACGTGGTGACGGTCAGCCTTAAATGTAAGGGTTACAAGTAATTGCCCTGGGAAACATGGACAAAATGGTGATTTTACCACTAGAAATGGTGATTTAATGGTGATTTTGATGGTTTAAGAATGGTGAATCATGGGATGATATTGCATTTAGCCTCTGGTAAACTAACAGATTGCGCACTGGAAAATCACCATCTTTAATAGGTAAATCAACTATTTCTATGGGTAATTTTCAATAGCTATGTTCAATTACCAGAGGGTAGATGTACTATGAACATTGTATAATATACAGATATATACCATACTTTTTTGGGACTATTTGGCCTAGTAACATTAAGTCTATTAAAACTATGGGTTTCCAATATGTTTTTACTAAGCTTCTCTTTATAGTAATTATCTAGTTATTAAAAATATACTAAAATATCTGGTCCCATAGGCCTTAAATTTTGACATATCCCCATGTACCAGTTTTTTTGGTAATGATATACTGTACTACTGTATTACAATAAATAATATCTTGGGAATATTGGGAATTATACGTACGTATATCTCAACTATATAATATCATATCCCAATCACCAACCCGCGTTATTGGTATAAAAATGGGATATTAGTAACCAACAATATCATAGTTGATAATATGTGTATATGTGTAAGGGTATGTTTGAATTAGTAGTTTGCAGTGATCCAGGTTCTACCTTGCAGCCGCTGCACGTTGTGCTTCCCCCATGGTGGATGCCAGGAAAACGTGCTATCTCTAAGAACGCTATGGCAGATTTGACCCTGGCAGAGCTATGCACGGAGGCGGTATGGGTTGGGGCCACACGTTGCTGTTGCCTCAAACACATTATGATGGGTTTGAATGACCGTTGAGGAGCCACAAAAGATACCATCTGGTTATTTAACGTAGCTATGACAAATCATAATGCTGAATAGATAGGTCATGATTGTTTCTCATCTATAGATTGACCATTTTCCATAGCAAACTCTTAAATAACCAGAAAATAATTTGGACCATTGATGGCCACCAAACATGTTTTCAGCATCAGATTGTCCGGCCCTGCAACAGGTCTACAGATTTCCTGTGCGATTGAAATTAGCTGACCTGCAAAATCGCAAGGATTGTGCTGATGTGACTCCGGCTGCCGAAGGGGGCATGAGGCCTTAAAGATCTTAAAGTGTGCAAAGCATCAATTTCTACATTGAACTATAGAAAAAATCCCAAAATAGGCCACCTTATTTTAGGCTACATGTGGAGGTTTCCTAAAATGGTACCCAAAATCATCCAAGTCATTAGATTGTTGATCTTGAGGATTCCCATTGAAGACCTCATTGGACGATCGAAACCAAAGGAAATGGGAACATCAACCAGTGCTTGTAGCCACTTTCTCAGCAGTTATATCAATGGGTTATCACTATTTTATCTATATATAAATATATCTAAAATTATTATTTTTTTGCATACTATACAATATACACATATATATACATACACGTACATATACATATATACATATACATATACATATACAAATACATTAGCATAGACATATGTATACATATACATAATACATACACATATACATAATACATTAACATAGACATATACATATACATATATGTATACAATCCCCAGTTATACATGTTTTTTCACCACTTAGCATTCACCTCCGGTGGAACCTCCGAGGCGATCCAAGACTTTTGTTCTTCGGAGCCGGCGAGCTGCGCTGCATGCGCCTGGGAACGGCTGCCACCGCCTCCCTGGATGGGGCGCTTTAACCACCAGGTGGGGTCGCAATGGGCGGAAACCCCCCTGGAAACGCACTGGTAAACTAACCATAGGAAAACCATAGGAAAACCATAGGAAAACCATAGGAAAATGGTGGTTTAATGGGATTTAATGGGATATACCCTCTGGTAATTTGTTACATAGCTATTGAACATGGCCATTGAAATAGTTGGTTGACCCATTCAAAAGGGTGATTTTCCATAGTTATGTTAGTTTACCAGAGGGTACTGTCTACTGGAAAGATGGCAAATAAAAGTAATTACCTAATTCATCCTAAAATGTCCAAACAAATTAGGTGAACTGGCGTATTTCTTGTAGAAAATGATTTTTGAGTTCAGTGTTCAAGGCATTTGTTGGATATTTCTTGGCAGTGGTTGGTCGTTTCCCTTGAGTCAGATCTCCACTTGACAAGGAAAAAGAAAAAGACACCATTGAATTGGCAAGGCATGAACTAGAAACTAGCATTTGTTAAAAACACTATGAAAACAATGGCAGTTCATGAATTGAAAAATCACCATTTGTACTTCCCTAGCCTTTCGACAGGCATTTTACCAGGAACACATCCAGTGTTGGAGAGATGATAGCAGCATTTCTTGAATATTGGTAGTCGCCTTGACACCAGAGTTCTCCATGGCAAAAAAAACAATCGACGTTGTTGTCGGAGGTGTACTTGGCCTGTTTTCAGTGATCCATATGTGCATATTATCTCAGGTGATTTGCGTGGATGGTAAAATTCTCGTCACCGGCGGTGTTAGCTACTGGACATGGAAAAAGGCGGATGGGATGGTTGTTTTTTTTTCTTTTCGGATGAATCACGGCTGACCTTGTACGGTTTGAGAAGTTTGGCTACACCAGCCTTTGCCATCTATGACGTTTGTATTAAAAGATTTGAAGGATTTCAGTACTCCTTTGCGGTAAGTAAAGATGATGCCTGCTGTGTGTGGGTCCCTTCCCCAAGAACAAGATTGAAGCACTTGATGATGTTTCCCAACCGAAACTGATTATGTGCATGGTTGGTTTGGGGAGTCTTCTCTGGGTGTGTCATGATCTATGTCCTTTACTTTTGGATGTCTCCAATGAACGTTCCTTCCACCGGGTTTCAAAGAAAGTCGCTGATAAAGTCAATCCACTTTGCCGGCCGTTGAACCACACCATCCAATTATGAATATGTTATTCTTCCTGATGAAACTCGCAGAACGAATGCAGGTCATGTTTGCGTTGACACTGTGCACTTAGTGAGCCATATTGTTAGCCAATTGCTGATGGTCCAATAGTTAAATGTGTTCTTACAAGCACATTTGTAATATCTTATCATTCTTATCCCTTTGCAATTAAGCGAGTTGTTCGTGGGTTGTAAAATAGCATAACATTGCCAAACACGAGTTGCAAGATATAATGGCAATGATCAATGGCTGTTTCGACGGCTTGCTCACCATTGATCCAACCATTGGTTGATTCCCCCGTCCATTTGTATTCCCATTTTTCCCCACCTGCCAGGTCAGGTTCTCTAGATTTTAACAAAGGAGCAACTCTTTCCGTCTCCTTCTCCTCCTTCTCCTTGTCTATTCCTCCGCCAGCTCGTCCTGACTGTCGGCAGCAATCGATCCGAACCACATCGCAAGATCCGGATGCAGTGGGGCACGCATGGACCCGAGCATGCCAGAGAGAATGCCTGAATATCACTTTCACTTTTCACTTTCATTGCAAATAAAGGTCTATGCCTTTGCTGCACTTGCACATTCTCGAATTAGATGTACAAAAGACGCCTATGTACCCTGGTAGTCTGGAAGCCATGTGTTCCTATACATCACTGTACTGGCTCGTGCAGCACCATGGATCCACTTCATCAGGGACTCAGGCAAATTGCCAATGCAACTGACTTCACGCTTGCGCTTAGCAGCAGTCAGTGCTTGAACAATGGAAAACGCAAGGCCTTTACAGAATCGTGGCGGATACTCCTTGTGTCTCGATGTTCTGAACTGTCCGGAGGGATCGCGCCCTATTGCGACGTCCTTGGGCTTGGAGGCATAGAGATCCGCATGCTGATACAAGTCCTTGCGAAAGTTAGGCATATGATAATGCAAAAGGCCAGTCGGCTTGACCACAGAGGCTCCCCATTGATACTGGTTGACGTGTGTCAGCTTCGCATCAGGGTGGCGGAGGAGAACCTCGATGATCGCACTGGACCATATGCTCGGGCGTTGGGCATCTGTAGGTTTGGCCGGGTGTTCTGATACCAAAACTCCTCCTGATTGCATGTGATGGCTCAGTACCAATGCTCCTTGTTGGTAAAAATTCCCGCCAAGATGACACTGCTTCAATTCGCGTGCCGTGAGGCCATCAAGTCCCAGCAGTCTCTCCGCTGATCTCAGCGGTCTTGGCCAAGGGGCACCACCTGTCGGCAAACTCTCCGGCAAGGTAAATCGAGCCTCACTGAAGGTTTCACAGGGTGAACCCAATAGGGTAGCCGATACGGCACCTGCAGCATATATCCGCATCAGCTGCTGCCAGGAATCGGAACCCAATGAGAGGTCACCAAAATCAGTGCTGACCGCGGTGTCCAATGACAAAACCACCAGCTTCAAATTACGCTCCGCTCCAAATTCATGAAGATAAGCATGAACATCCTGATGTCTCCTCCTGCCACTAAAGAGGTGGACAACTAGAAAGGCTTCTTCACCGCTAGGGAGCAGAATCATGGGGCACAGTCTAGTCGGCGGCAAGTCAAGGAAATGCATGGCTCTGACACGCTGTTGCCATTCGGTCTGGTCGGCAAATGATCTTGGCACCTTTTGGACAACCTTACTGTTGGATTTAGGATGCTTGGTTCTCCCCGCCTCTGGTGGGGCACGGTGTGCTGAAGGCATCGGTGGGACACAAAGCTGCAACCTATGCTCAAGATGTGCTCGCCTAGCCAAATTCCTGTATCGTTCTAACTGAGAAGCAAAGTCAGCAAAGATATGGTCAATGTCAATCTCTGCAACTCCATCTTCCAGCGTGTCGGTCAGATCTGGCATCCAATGTTCTCCCCAGAGCAGAAAAACCCACTCCAGCCAAGGATCCAAGTCATCCTCTGTTTCAAAGCTCCTCTTGCAAAGCACTTCAACCCAAGCGTCAACCAGAAGCGCCTTCTCATCTTCTGTTGGTCCGTTGGGATAAAACTGTCTGAACCAGCAAAGGGTAGCCTTTGACAATTCTTCCCCAATTTTTTCACCTTCACCCACTGGATCGGGCGGTTGGTGGGGAATTTGCAGCTTCTGCTTGCACTCATCCAATTCAGCCAGGGTCTGGATCCTGTGCGTCTCCCACACGGGGCAAGGGTTAATCGCAGGGCCTGCAGTTTGGAGGCATTCACGGCGGTGCAAACCTGCATATGCAGCGGTAGCTCCTACATCTTCCTTTTCATATGGAACTTGCCGTGCTTGTGTCTGCAGTGCATAGAAACATGGGTTAAACCCAAGGGCTTTCGGGATGTAAGCCAAATGCTGCTGCAAGCGTTGGGTGGACCACATGAATTTGCCGCAATGTAAGCAAGTGCAACCCTGCAGGAATTGCCTCTCAACTGAAAATAAGGCATGTGCCTTGCGCTGATGTGCCAATAACCCTCGTCTGGTGGCAAAAGTTTTGCCGCAGAAACAATCATGTCGTTCTTCCCAATCCAGAAAGTCGTCCTGTGCCGTGGTGAATGTGGCTCCTGCCTCTCGAAGGTTGTGAAAAATACCAGCATGAAGGGATTTCGCATCAACAATGATGGCATTTTGGGCAAGGTGCAACTTCCAAGTCTTTTTAACCAATCTGACCCAGCAGGTTTGCGGTTCTTGCCACCATTCAAATAGCGTCGTCATGTCCTGGCTCCATCCCTGGGGCAGACTCCCTGGGTTCACGTTTTCCATCCAGTCAAGATCTGCTCGCAGGCCATTCAACCAGGACTTGTCACTGCACGCAAGTTCCTGGTGGATCAGATGGTGGAGAAAAGCCGGGCCAGTACGGAACAGCCGTTGGGCATACAGCAAGCGCTCAATAGCAAGTCGAGGACGAACCTCAGCTGTGTGCGCTAACATAAGCACCCGCTCCGCTGGCACATGGTGTTTGGTCAACCTCAGGACACGTTTGAGAAAACCAACCAAGGCACCTTGCAAATACTGCAGTTGCTTGGGTCCTGGGGTTGCCCAGGCTCCTAGGCCAAAGAACATTCGGGTGGCAATGAGGGATTGGAAAAATTGTAGTCGCAACTTGCAAGGCATATTCTTGTTCGTCAGGATAGGTCTGGCCAGTTGTGCAAAGGTGGATTTAGCAATACCTACCCTGGCTCGAAATTCACACTGGAGATCATGATTGGATGCAAACAGGGTTCCTAAGTGGCGATAAGTCGGAACGAAGTGCAACCATTCAGTCTGCCCATCTTCAAACGTGCAAATGACACCAGGATTCGAGTGCAGTTGAAATCTCTTTCGGAGGTCACCAGAATTGGCTCCCTTCAGCGTTACAACAGCACTAGTCTTGCCCTTTGAAAAATTCAATGTGAATCCATAATCCTGCAGTGTGCCTCGAACAAATTGCAAGACTTCCTGAAGAAAAGGAATCAGTTCTTCGGCCTGTCTGGTAGCAAGTGGTACGGCAATATCATCTGCCCACAGGATGGAGGGGGCCTCAATCTGGATTTCCTTCAGCAACTTCCCAAATTCCTCTTTGGTCATGAGCCAGGCATCAATGGATTGGGCTATTTTAGCCATCAGGGCATGAAAGATGATATCAGCAATGGGACTACCAGGTCTGGTGCCCCTATGCGTTCGCAGCAACCATCGTTCATGAATGGAGCACCATGTGTTGATGTGAATGTCTCGCAACAATCGGACAATGGGCTCGGCCAGGCCCAGTTCAGCCAACAGTCCAGGCAGCTCGGAGAACCTACGAAAGTCAGGGCGCAGGTTGCTCTCCTGTTGCAGCACTGCAAGCACTGGGTCAAGATTGCAGCCATCATACGCACCTACCACGCTTTCTCTGATAAGGTGATGGAAGGCGCTTGCCAGATCTAGGAAGAGGATGGCGCTGCTCAACCCTGCCTCATCACAAATGGTGCCAAAAGTCCTGATGGCATGAGATCCAAAGATTACTTGCTGACCAGGAAAGCCTCCTAATTGGCCCGGTGCCCTAGCAATCTCGAGCTTCTTCATGAGCTGTGCACGCAAAACTGCATGGGTTCGTTTGCCGACACTCGGAAGCAAGAGAATTCCTCTGAATTGCTTGGCCGTTGTTGGATGCAAAGTTTTGGGTATCAAGGCGACTGGTCCACCTTTGTCCTGCACTGGTTCACTTTGCCAAACATATTCCTTGATAACTAAATCATGGAAGAGTGTGGCCAATGGGACGGCAGCTGAATGAAAAAGGTCAGAAGGCAAAGGATCGAATCCAGTGGCTTTACCTGAGGCAGCTGCTCGGAAAGTCTGTTCCAGGTGCGTCAGGCCTGGTAGCTCAGATAGATTGACCTTCAAAGGTGCATCCAACCTGCGCAGGGCTTGTTCAAAGATACAACCTCGAACAAGTTGGTCTGGCGTGGTGACAACCCCAGCCTCAAGCTCAGCATAGTGTGGCAACCACTGGTCTTCGAGTCCTTCAAGCTGACATGGAGGGATGTTAAGCCTACGCTGCTGGAACTTTGGGAGTGATCTACGGACAACTTTCCAAAGATGCTTGACATCTTTCGGCTGCAAAAACTCAGTGCAATCTTGCATCAAGCCTGAGAAAAATCCAATG